CGTGGCCCGGGGCCGCGGCGGCCCGTCCGGAAGGACCCTGCCGGGTGCCGGGCGAGGTGACCTCCGAGTGCCTCGGGGACGGAAACACGGAGCGGGGCCGGCGCCCCGTGTCGGGGGCGCGAGGGAGGGTTTGGGGTTGCGACCAGCTGCCCCCAGCCTCTTGGGCAGGTGACCTTTTGGAAAGAAAATCCATGATATAATTCAGTCATCCGAAGGAACATCTTTACTGCAGGCAGGTACAAAGATCAACATGTTTCCCAGCTAGCACGAGTCATTTCATTTGTGATGTCGGTCTCGGCAGGCCGACAAGTTCGGAAATCGCGGGCTTTGCTGGGCCGCGGAATAGCTCAATCTACTCCTACTTCAGTTTCCCTGCTGCGAGGCAGGGATGGTATTTCCCCGCACAAGCTGCGATGACCCATCGATTAATAAAAACACAATGGTTTGCAGCTGCAAGATGCCAGCTAAAATGACAGTGCAGCTTTCCTTCAAAACGTAACCTGTGCCAAACTCTGCATTTGCATTAAATTTGTTATTCTAAAGTCGTCGTAATCAGTTCACGTCGGGGCGTATTCTTTGCCCTCTCCTTGGACAAGTCCCCGATGCCGAAAAAGACAGCTTTGCTAGTCATTTTTGTAGCAACAGCGTAAACGTTATGTCGTTGGCGTGGAGCCACGGTGAGTCAGGCTTCGCTTTGGGCAGCCTCCTGGAGAGAGAGAGAGTGGGAGAGAAGATCGGTCTCAAGTCCGAGGTAGGGAGTGTTGGCACGGGCAGGCCCGGGAGTGCCAAGAGCGGTCCCAAGCCTCGCGTGCCGGTGCAGCCTGAAAAGCTGTAACAACACGGATGTAGCCTACAAATAAGGAATATTTGCTGAAGAGGCTGGCAGGACCTGAGAGGCTGGTAATGGGGGAGAGCGAAGCTGCGTGTACTGCGGTTTCCTTTGGGTCCGTGGATGGTGGGAGCGTGCTGTTGCTCCATGGAGAGGGCTGCTTCTGGGGGTAGTTGGGTATACAGGCTTTTATATGCCTGCTCCTGTGTCTCCAAGGGACTCGATTCCTTTGTGCGTTGAGATGGAGGCAAATCTGTTAGAGAAATAAATTGGAAAAAATATTGGCAGCCGTGGTTCTAGTCACTTTTCGATTCCTGCACTTGAATTTTCGGCGTGTTTCGTGTATCTGTCTTTGACCCTTCAAAAACACACATGCACTAGACAGCTCATCGCCCATCACTGGAAGGCAGTGGAGACAGCCTGCTAGGCGGGCAACTTGCTGATCCATTGCCTGTGGAAAGCTGCCTGAGGATAATGATTAGGCAAATGTTAATGATTCGTCAGCACCTCTAGTTCATTTCTGTTAATCAACACACTGAGCTTATAACTAGAGACGATATTGATCAGTGCAGCTATTGACACTCACTTCCATCTCGCCCTGCCCACGTGCCATGTCTTGAGTCCAACTGGGGAGAGAGAGACTAGCTTGTATCGTGTCCTGTACAAAAGGTCACAGCGGCGGCTCTGGGCGCTGCTCAGATATCCATAATAAATCATGAGGATGAATGCTTTTCTTTGGTGTTATCCTACTGGGACCGTTTAACCACTTTCCTCTATACTAACCTTCTGTACGGGATTTTGTTGGTGAATCACAGGGACCTCAGAAGTTAAAGGGCAGCTGATTTCTCCAGGGCTAGGATCAACTGGCTACATTGTGCTGGTTTCAGCAGAGGGGGAACAGAGGATTGTCAGAGCCACAGGAAGGCAGTTCTTGCCCTTTAGTGTTCTAAGCTGCTTGGACAAGTCCCAAGCACTGGCCGCTTCCAGCTGCACGTGATAATAGATTGTCAATGGGAATTTGTTTTCGAGTTCCCTGGGCATCGGTAGTAAACAGTGGAAGAACACTGGCTGCAGGGACCTCCTGTCTGATGGCCCAGGGGAACTGGTAGGGATAGCAGAACACGTTTCCCTGCTGGTTCACATCTTCCTGTTGATCTTGCCTTTCTGGAAAGATTCTTTCAAGCAAGCTTCAGGCAAAATCTGCGAGAGGGACTTGTTCCGGAGGTGAAGCGGATTGGTCTCCAAAGCAGACACAGTGCAGAGCGCGGGACGACTTCCTCCCACCTGCATTCCCTTAGCCGGCACCTCAGGGCCAGTGACACACTACTCTGTGCTCAGTAGCCCATTTCATCCTTGACTTCTCTCCTGACTTAACTGCAAAGGAGAGGGCTGTGGATTATGGATTTCCTTCTTTTTCAAAATTGAAGACCCGCCATCTTACTCATTTTCATTGTTTGTACCACATGTATCTCAAAGGTCTCTGAGCTATTGTGGCACCCTTGAGGAGTTTGGTGTTATTATGACCCCAGCTCAGGACTCAGTGACGCAGAAGAGCAGGTTACACCCTTTAAACTACCTCTGATCGAGGTGTTAAGTACAATTTTTGTGATTGCTGAGGTTTTGGGTTTGTTTTTTTCCTCAGCATCTGCTTTTGCTTGGAGACCTTTTGCCTCTTGAGCCAAAACCAGCAGAGAACCTGCCTGAGATCCCCACTGGAAAGGCTGTTGAAAGTTGTAGGTCAGAACGCAGTGGGTCAGAAGGAGTTTGGGATTGGAACACGATCGTGCCCGTTGCCTGCAGATATAGTTCCCAAAGATGCTTATAGGAAGAAGAAATTATCAATCAAATTCAAGTAGAGCCAAAAGACAAGTCAAGTTCATCACCTGTGCCTGCTTC